CACAGCTCCTGCCAGGAGGGGACAGCCGGGGGGATTTGGGATCTGTTCCCAGGAACAGGGACAGGAGGAGAGGGAACGGCCCAGGGGAGCCTCGGGGTGGGCACCAGCAGGAATTTCCCCATGGAAAAGGGGGTCAGGAGTTGGAGGTGCCCAGGGAGGTTTGGAATCTCCATCCCTGAGGGGTTTCCCAGCCCTGTGGATGCGGCCCTGGGGGATTGGGGCATGGTTGGACTCCCATATCTCAGAGGGCTTTTCCAACCTCAGCGATTCCACGATTTACATTCCCAAGCGAGCTCTTCCTGCACATCCTGGCCACTGCAGTGACCCTTTCCTGTTTTCCAGGGAGCCCGGGAGACCTTTGAGAGCTACTACAGGAAGCAGAGGAGAAAACAAGCGCGGCTGGTGCTGCAGCCTCCCTCCAACATGGTCAGTTTGTCCTGGAATGTCATCCCGGGGCTCCCGCCGCCGCGCCCCCAGAATCGCGCCTTGCCCTCGGCCGCCTGGGCTCTGACCTCTGCTCCTCTCTCTTTGTTGCAGCACGAAACTTTAGATGGCTACAGGAAGTATTTCAATCAAATTGTAGGGTAGGTGTTCCTTTTATACACAGCCCCGCTAAAAATGGGCGTCCCGCGCTGCCGAGGAGCCCAAAAAAAGACACTGGGAGAGGAGGGAATGTCGGGATTTTTGGTGGTCCTCGAAGCTGAAACACGACCAAAAAAAAAAAAAACCAAGAAAAAAAATGGATTTTGCTTTTTACGAGTTGTAAAGTGAATTTTATCCTCTTTGCTGCGTCACTGTGCGGAGCGGGGAGGGACCTGCCAGCTCTCTTTTGGCAAGCTCTGAATTTCTGTGGATTTCTGGGACTTTCTTGGGATTTCTGGGGATTTCCACGAATTTCTGTGAATTTCTACAAATTTCTGGGAATTGATCGGAATTTCTGTGAATTACTTGGAATTTCCATGAATTTATTGGAATTTCTACAATTTTCTGGGAATTTCTGGGAATTTATTGGAATTTCTGGGGATTTCTTGGAATTTCCGTTAATGTCTCTGAATTGCTAGAAATTTCTGCGTATTTCTGGGAATTTATTGGAATTTCTGGGGATTACTGGGAATTTCCATTAATTTCTCTGAATTTCTAGAAATTTCTGTGGATTTATGTGAATTTCTGGGAATTTATTGGAAGTTCTGGAGATTTCTTGGAATTTCCACAAATTTCTGAGAATTTCTACAAATTTCTGTGGATTTCTGTGAATTTCTTGGAATTTCTGGGGATTTCTTGGGATTTCCATGAATTTCTGGGAACTTCTAGAAATGTCTGTGGATTTCTGTGAATTTCTAGAAATTTCTGGGGATTTCTGTGAATTTCTTAGAATTTCTGGGGATTTCTTGGAATTTCCACAAATTTCTGGGAATTTCTACAGATTTCTATTGATTTCTTTGAATTTCTGTGAATTTATGGGAATTTCTGGGAATTTTTGGGGATTTAGTAGAATTTCTTGGAATTTCCATGAATTTCTGTGGATTTGAGGACAAATGATCCCTGTGTTTTATGTGCATTTTCTTGCCCCACTAACAACATGAATGGAATAATTAATAATTTTCCTGCTGAAGGAGGTGTTTCTCCCTTCCCCAGAGCTGCTTGTTTTTGTCACTCTCAAATTTGAACAAAAATCCTCCCAAACTGAGCTCCGAGAGGAGAATTCCAAAGGCTGCTGATCCACGAAAATGGGATGGGATTTGTTCTTTCTTCAGTTTATAATGAGATTAATTTCAACACCTAATTACGACCACCACAAGTCCCACGTGTGCTGCTCCCTCGTGCAGCTCCCTGCTCCTGGCCTGGATTTCCTTGGGAAAACCTGGAAATTCATGTGTCGCCATTTGAAATGCCACTCCCACCCTCATTCCCTGGAAAACGCTTCTGGAGCAGACCAGTGGAACTGGAGACAGGAGCGAATGGATTGCCTGGAAAGGGCTGGGAGGGAGGGAGGATTTTCCCTGCAGCTCAGGAATTTTCCCTGCACTTCCAGCATTTTTCCCTGTACTTAAAGCAGTTTTCCCTGCAGATAAAGTGTTTTTCCCTGCAGATAAAGTGGTTTTCCCTGCAGACAAAGAAGTTTTCCCTGCAGGTAAAACAGTTTTCCCTGCAGATAAAGCAGTTTTCCCTGCAGATAAAGTGTTTTTCGTGCAGGTAAAACAGTTTTCCCTGCAGATAAAGCATTTTTCCCTGCAGACAAAGTGTTTTTCCCTGCAGATAAAGTGTTTTTCGTGCAGGTAAAACAGTTTTCCCTGCAGATAAAGCATTTTGCCCTGCAGATAAAGTGGTTTTCCCTGCACAGAAAGCGTTTCTCCCTGCAGATAAAGCGTTTTTCCCTGCAGATAAAGCATTTTTCCCTGCAGATAAAGTGTTTTTCCCTGCAGATAAAGCAGGTTTCCCAGCAGATAAAGTGTTTTTTGTGCAGGTAAAACAGTTTTCCCTGCAGATAAAGCATTTTTCCCTGCAGACAAAGCGGTTTTCCCCGCAGATAAAGCATTTTTTGTGCAGGTAAAACAGTTTTCCCTGCAGAGAAAGCATTTTCCCCTGCAGATAAAGTGGTTTTCCCTGCACAGAAAGCGTTTCTCCCTGCAGATAAAGTGTTTATCCCTGCAGATAAAGCATTATTCTCTGCAGATAAAGCGTTTTTCCCTGCAGATAAAGTATTTTTCCCTGCAGATAAAGTGTTTTTCCCTGCAGATAAAGCAGTTTTCCCTGCAGATAAAGCGTTTTTTGCTGCAGATAAAGCAGTTTTCCCTGCAGATAAAGTGTTTTTCGTGCAGGTAAAACAGTTTTCCCTGCAGATAAAGTGTTTTTCCCTGCAGATAAAGCATTTTTCCCTGCAGATAAAGCATTTTTTGTGCAGGTAAAACAGTTTTCCCTGCAGATAAAGCATTATTCTCTGCAGATAAAGCGTTTTTCCCTGCAGATAAAGCGTTTTTCCCTGCAGATAAAGCGTTTCTCCCTGCAGATAAAGCATTTTTCCCTGCAGATAAAGCGCTTTTCCCTGCAGACAAAGCAGTTTTCCCTGCAGATAAAGTGTTTTTCGTGCAGGTAAAACAGTTTTCCCTGCAGATAAAGCGTTTTCCCCTGCAGATAAAGCGCTTTTCCCTTCAGATAAAGCAGTTTTCCCTGCAGATAAAGCGTTTTTCGTGCAGGTAAAACAGTTTTCCCTGCAGATAAAGTGTTTTTCGTGCAGATAAAGCATTTTTCCCTGCAGATAAAGTGCTTTTCCCTGCAGATAAAGCGTTTTTCACCACAGGTAAAACAGTTTTCCCTGCGGTCAGAGCGTTTTCCCCGGTTGTGGTGGGACTGCTGCTGGCTGGAGCAGACTTTATTCCGTGGTTCCTGTGGGAATACCGAGGTGGAGAAGGCGTGGAGGGGGAATTCTGCCTTTGTGCACACACAGAGAGCAGCAGGGCTCAACTCCCTCCTCCAACCCAGCGAAATTAAAAACGAGGGAATAAACCTCTTGGAGCAGCCTGGATTTGACAGATCCCTCAAACCCAGAACCTGTGGACACCCCAGCCTCACCCGGGGGGGCTCGGGGGTGTCTTGGACCCCTCAGATGTGACGTTCTGGTGGTGATTTCTGCGTTTCAGGTTTTTTGTGGTGGAGGATCACATCCTGCACACCACCCAGGGCCTGGTCAATCGGGCCTATATTGATGAGCTGTGGGAGATGGCCCTGTCCAAAACCATCGCGGCCCTCAGGACCCACTCCGTGAGTAAAAGCCCGGCAGAGCTCAGCTGTTGCTTGACTGTCCTTGACGTGCTGCAATATTGCCTTTTTTTTCTTTTTTTTTCCTTTTTTTTCTTTTTTCCTCCGCTCAGGATCCTTTGTTTTCCCTCTTTTCCAATGAGTGTTTAAAAGAGAGACACAGACACACAGATAAGTCTCCTTCTCCGGCGATTTCAGCCTCTTGGTTGAACGCATTTCCCTGCCAAATTCGGTATTTTGAAGAGTAAAACGGCGGGTTTGTGTTCTCATCGTTGTTTCATTCGGAATTATTGAGGGAGAGGGAGGTGATTTGTCCCAGAAAAACTGGGGGAGCTAAAGCATCTTTTTGGCACACCAAAACATGACATTGGTTGATGCAGAACCAGAGAATCGCAGGGTGGTTTGAGATGGAAAGGACCTTAGAGATTGTCTTGATTCCTTAAATTTCATGGCTGAGAAATGGGCAGAAAATGGGCTGGAAAATGGGCTGGAAATGGGCTGGAAATGGGCTGGAAATAGGCTGAAAATGGGCTGAGAAATGGGGTGAAAAACCAAATCCAGGGAGGCAGAACCCCAGGAGAGAGCCAGGAGCACCTTGGGTGGGAAGAGATGGACACGGATCTCTCTGATGAGCCCGGATCTCTCTGGGATGAGGGAATCCAGAGGATTCCTGGTGTTCTCCATCCCCATCCCCATCCAGGTGACTGCAAAATTGATTTTCTTCCTCAAAAAACTGGGGGATGAAAAACATCTTTTTGTCACACAAGATCAAAGAATCCCAGAGTGGTTTGGGTTGGAAGAGACCTTAGAGATCATCTTTATCCCTTAAATTTCATGGCTGTGACATGGGCTGAAAACGGCCCAAAAATGGGCTGAAAAAACAAATCTAGGGAGACAGAACCCCAGGAGAGAGCCAGGAGCACCTTGGGTGAAAATATGGGAAGAGATGGACAGGAACACCAGGCTTGGAGCAGTGGAAGGAGGTGGAACCAGATGGGTTTGAAGGTCCTCTCCACCCCACACCATTCCATGGCTCTTCCTGGAGCTGGATCTTGATCCCTTAAATTTCATGGCTGTGACATGGGCTGAAAATGGCCCAAAAATGGGCTGAAAACCCAAATCCAGGGAGGCAGAACCCCAGGAGAGAGCCAGGAGCACCTTGGGTGGGAAGAGATGGGCACAGATCTCTCTGATGAACCCGGATCTCTCTGGGATGGGGGAATCCAGAGGATTCCTGGTGTTCTCCATCCCCATCCAGATTACTGGAAAGTTGATTTTTTCCCCAAAAAACTGGGGGGTTCTAAAGCATCTTTTTGTCACACAAGATCAAAGAATCCCAGAGTGGTTTGGGTTGGAAGAGACCTTAGAGATCATCTTGATCCCTTAAATTTCATGGTTGTGACATGGGCTGAAAACGGCCCAAAAATGGGCTGAAAAAACAAATCTAGGGAGACAGAACCCCAGGAGAGAGCCAGGAGCACCTTGGGTGGGAAGAGATGGACACAGATCTCTCTGATGAGCCCGGATCTCTCTGGGATGAGGGAATCCAGAAGATTCCTGGTGTTCTCCATCCCCATCCAGCTGACTGCAAAGTTGCCTCCTTCCCCCCGAGCTCCTGTGCTACCAGAGGGGATAAACACCAAGCCCGCCCCGGGCTGCAAACCTGTGTTTGTTTTTGTTTCCAGTGGGATTTTCTGCGAGCTGGGAGCAGGAGGCTGAGCCAGGCCCAGCCACGGGGGTTTTTTTTTGGTGTTCCCAGCTTTGTTGCCACGCAGGTTGTTTCAAGTGGTGCCAGGAGGAACGCACGGAGCGGCTGCCAGGGGAGGCTTTGTCAGGATCACGAAACGTTCCGTGATTTCCCAACCCTGTGGCCACCACCGTTTGCTCTGAGCACTCCCAGTCCAACCAGTGCCCTGCAGCTCTTAACTGGGATTTGAGGGAGGGTCTCCCCTTGCTGAGGTTATTTCCACCCTTCCAAGGCAGACAAATTTATCCCTGGATTTTCCTCCTTGCCGCAGGCGGGGACATCTTTAATCACTTGCGATGCTTCAGGGCATTATCTTTCTTCCTGACTCTCCTTTTTGGACAGGGAGATGGAAAACGTGTGTCTCCCAGTGCTTCCCGCTGATTAATGGAGCCGTTCCTCCTGGAGTTTCCAGCGGGCTCAAAATCCCTCTCCTTTTCCAGCCTGGGATCGCCGAGTCTATATTTGGGCAGCCTCTGGCCCAAACCTCGCGTTTTTCAGCACGGGGAGGCATTTTTGGCCGCTCTCGGGAAGGCTGGGGGGGCCCTGGGGACGCTGAGCTGTGTCTGGGGGGTTTGGAGCAGGATGAATCCCCGTGCTGGGGCTGGAACCCGGCACACTTTCCCTCAGCCCCAGGCTGAGATGCTTCATTACCGTCAGACACAACACGGTAAATTTTAAATGAGAGGCGCTGTCCTCGTCCCGCGTCGTGGGAGCCATCTCCTCTGGCTGCCCAGCAGCTCCTGGGCGGTTTTGGGCACACCTCGGGTATCTCTGGGGCAGCCCAAAGGCTTCTCCAGCCCGGAGGGCACCGGCAGCCTTATCGGCCCTGCCCCGTGCAGCCGCGGCGGGCTGGGGTTGAGCTGCTGCTCCTGGGCAGTTCTCATCTGAGAACTGAGAGGAGAGGCTGGGCTCAGGGCTGTGCCACGCAGTCACGGCCGTGTTCTCCTCTCTGCCCTCCTCTGCAGTCCTACTGCTCCGACCCCAGCCTGGTGTTGGACCTGAAGAACCTCATTGTGCTCTTCGCCGACACGCTGCAGGTACGTGGGGCCTCTCCCAGTTTGCCCAGCAGGGCTTTGGCGCCTGAGCTGGGCTGGCCAAGCTCCTTTTTTGGGCATTTTTGTGGATGGCCAGAGGGACAGCTTGGTTTGGTCTGTGCAAGGACCGGGCTTGGCCACCTCAGCCAGGCCTGGGACAGCGCTGGGTGCTGCTCCCATGGTCAGTCAGCCCCTAAACCCCTCCAGCTGCACCAGGGGTGGTGCCGGGCGAGGATTTGCCCCCGATAAACACAGACAACGATCCCCGGCTGCCCGGTGGTGCCTTCATTCCCTCCCCTGCTGCTCTGCAGGGCTACGGCTTCCCGGTGAACCAGCTCTTCGACATGCTGCTGGAGATCCAGGACCAGTACAGCGAGACCCTGCTGAAGAAGTGGGCAGGGGTGTTCAGGTGAGAGGCTCCCACAGAACCTCCTGGAACTCCTCGCTGAGGGGCTCCGGCCCCTCCGTGGAAGCTTTTGGGGGATCAATTGTAGGGTCGTGGAATGGGTTGGGTGGGGAGGGGCTGTAGAGCCCATCCAGGGCCACCCCTGCCGTGGAGCTGCTGGAATAAATCCAGAGGAGACCCCAGAGCTGCTCCAGGATTCTGGAGCCAGGCTGGGAGAGCTGGGAATGTTCCCCTGGAGAAGGGAAAATTCCAGGGAATGCTCAGAGTCCCTGCAGGGGCTCCAGGAGAGCTGGAGAGGGACTGGGGACAAGGGACAGAGGGACAGGAGCCAGGGAATGGCTCCCACTGGGAAAGGGGAGCTTGGGCTGGGATCTTGGCAAGGAATTCCTGGCTGGAATTTGTCTGGAATTCCCAGATTTGCTGGGGCTGCCCCTGGATCCCTGGCAGCACCCAGGGCCAGGTTGGGATGGATCTTTGAGCCACCCTGGGTGGTGGGAGGTGTCCCTGCCATGACAGGGTGACACTGGGTGGGATTTAGGGTCACTTCCCACCCAAACCATTCCACGGTTCTGTGCCCTTGCTCCATCACCAAGCTCTGCCTGCTTTGGGCTGTCCATGGCTGCTGCTGCAGGAATTTGGGATCACACCTTAGCCTGGCACCAGCCCCTGGGAATCTCCTGGACCAGCAGGAAAACTTTCCCCTCTGTGTCCCTAACTCTTCTTTTGTTTTCCCAGAACCATCCTTGACTCGGATAACTACAGCCCCATCCCGGTGTCGAATGAAGAAGTTTATAGGAAAATCGTTGGGCAGTTCCCATTCCAGGATGCTGAACTTGAAAAGGTAAATCCTGGAATGGGGAGAACGGCCTGGCCTGGCCGCTCGGGCAGGAGAACCTCACGCCCTTTGTGGGCATTGCAAGGCTCCAAAAAACCCCTAAATCAACCCCCCAGCCCAAATCAACAATAAAAGAGTAAGGAAAACAATGGGAAAGAACAAATATTCCTCCCATGGGATGCATTTCTCCTGGTGTGGATGAGGGAAGTTGGATTTGTGTTCCTCTCAAGGTGTTCTGTCACACAGGTGGAAATATCAATTTCCAGTGGTATTTATTCCCATTTTTTGGACCCTGGGATTGACCTTTATTGGTTTTAGTCTCATATTTAGAGAAAAAGAGCTCAGAAAAGTTGTGGATCTTGGCCGTTGCAGGAGCAAACATGTCCAGATGTCTCCTGAATCCTAAATCCTGCCTGGCCCTGTGCTCCACACCTGGCAGGCAGCAAATCCAGCCCTGGTGATCCCAGTCAGGGGTTCAGATTTCTGTGTCCTGCCCCAAAATTCTGTCCTGGGGTTCAGCTGCACCTCCCAGCTCTGAGTGCGGGGAGTAAAAACCGGAAGAATTTGGTGTTGGAAAATCCGTTTGCTCCTGGTTTTTGGGGTCGTTGGGCAGCCCCTGGGGGAGGTGAGCAGGAAAACACCTTGTGCATGGTGTGGGAGGAATTCCAGGTGTTCTCAAGGAGGGAGCTGGGAGAGGGAATGAGGGAATGGCCCCGAGCCCCTCCTGCTCCAGGTGCCATTTTGATTATCTGCTCTCGCCCTTGGCTGAAGCGTTGATAAAATCCAGGATAAATCCCAGAATTGCTTTGCCTGGCTGGAAGAGCCCTCCCTGCTGTCCCTGCTCTCCCTCTGGAGCTCTCCCCCGTGTTTTCCAGCAACCCTTCCCAAAGAAGTTCCCCTTCTCGGAGTTCGTGCCCAAGGTCTACAGCCAGATCAAGGAGTTCATCTACGCCTGCCTCAAGTTCTCCGAGGACCTGCACCTCAGGTGGGAAACTGAGAGAGCTCAGCCGAGTTCAAACATGGATCCTCTCCCTTTGGATGGAGCCTGCCCAGGCTGGAAGTGCCTCTGGAGCAGTGGGATTTTGGCTGGCGAGATCCCAGCATGGTTTGGGATGGGAGGACCTTTGGGGATCATCCCCAAACCTGTCAGAATCTGAGGTATTGATGATCCTGAGATTGTAAAAGTCTCTGTCTGTCAGCCCCCTGCCAAAGCAGAAGCCATAATTGGTCTGTGCTGGTTTCCAGGTTGTTTATTCTGTTGATCTCTCACATGTTCTGCTGCCCTGCCCAGCTCTGTCCTGCAGGGCAGCGTGTGGGGCTCTGCCCTCAGTGGGATGTGACAAACATTAAATACCAGAAACTCCCTGGGCTGCATTTACAAGAACGTGCCAATATCTGTCACCTACGTTGGACAGTGTGTCCCCAGCCTGAACCAACAGAAAAATGCCAACACCACAGTGAGACATGGAGGGCATGAAGAAGGAGAAAAAGGACAAGGCACACCCAATTTCCTCCATCTTGTGTCCTTTGGACCCCTCATCTAGAATCCTAAAATTTTACTTTTGCACCAGTGCCACACTTAATTATTACTGATATCAAACACTCAGAGCTGGTAATTCATGCTGTAAGATTGAAAACTCTTTTCCATGGACAGAGATCAGGCACACCCAATTTCCTCCATCTTGTCCCCTTGGATCCCTAATCTAGAATCCTAAAATTTTACTTTTGCACCCGTGCCACACTTAATTATTACTGGTATCAAACACTCAGAGCTGGTAATTGATCCTGTGAGATTGAAAACTCTTTTCCATGGACAGAGATCACAGCCAGTGTCTCTGGGGGCTCTGTCCAGGGGGTTCCTGACCCTGCCAGGGTCCCAGGGCAGCCAGAGGGAAGCTCTGGACTCCCCCACAAACCCATCCCAGGGACACCTTCCATGGTGCTCCAAGCCTCCTCCAGCCTGGCCTTGGACACTTCCAGGGAATTCCACACTCCCAGGATGATCCCAGTTGGGGCTGTTTCCTCCGAGATGTTTGTGTCTTGTTCTTTTAATAAATAAATGAAGGTGGGTGTCTGGAGAGCAGCTGATGGCCACTCGTCACCATCTGTGATCCCCCAGGCTCCCCTCGCTGCTCCCCAAGGAATGGGAATCCCGTGGCTCCATGGAAGTGTTGTCAGGAGCACTCTGAGGGTTGGATTTTTGGTCAGGAACGAGTTTCAGCTGCTGGTTTCGTGCTTTTGTTCTTGTTTCTTCGGGGAGTTTATATACAAATAATGTGATTTTTTTTTTTTATTTTAAAAAGAGCCTGCAAAATATTCCATGTGTTTACCCTCCCTGCTCCATCCCGGGGTGCTTTGATGCTCGTTTCACCCATGTGTACGTGTGTGAGACTGAAAACCGGCGGGGTCTGCCAGGAGCTGGGGCTTTGCTGCTGCCTCAGCAGCGTTGGCAGCTCCGGGGAGGTTTGGAGATGAAGGACAAGAGTCTGGCTGGGAGGATTCATCCTCCTTCCCTTCCCGGGGAAACACGAGGCTGGATTGGGGTGGGGGCAGTTCCAGCTCCTTGGGAGCTTCGTATCCTGGCCATGACCTGACACTGGAGCTGCTGGAGAGAGCCCAGGGAGCTGCTCCAGGGCTGGAGCCAGGCTGGGAGAGCTGGGAATGTTCCCCTGGAGAAGGGAAAATTCCAGGGAATGCTCAGAGTGCCTGGAGGGGCTCCAGGAGAGCTGGAGAGGGACTGGGGACAAGGGACAGAGGGACAGGAGCCAGGGAATGGCTCCCACTGGGAAAGGGGAGCTTGGGCT